CACAGGATACCAAGTCCTTCGAACTCTTCACAAAATGGTGTCCTTGGAGCCCCAGGACATACAAGAGTGTCCCGGTCATCGTTGAAAAGCGATTCGAGGCCAGACAGAGAGGGAGAGGTGATGCCCGAGCGATTATAGTATGCGAGTAGCTCGTCGTCGACGAGGAATGGTCCCTCAAAGGTCTCGAGAGATGGAAGCTTGGGTGCTCCGAGACAAGTTAGGATCTCCTGTTCGGCTTGCTCTAGCTGCGAAACCGGCGCGGCATAGTTTTTGACGTGGTTGTTGAGGATGGTCTCGACGACGTTGGACATGGTGAGCAGTTCTGTTGGAAAAAGTCATCAGATGTGGTGATTCTATGCCTAGTGAGGGAAATACGACTTACGATGTGGATGTAAAGACTGTGTGGCGACAAGGAAGGTGAAGACGACGAGATGCGCTGGCAGAGACGGAAGGGGTTGATAGTCAAGATGCGTTATGTGTTTGGTTAGTCGCAGATGGCCTTATATATGAGGTCGCCTCCTCAATTTGAATACATGGAGGGCCTCAACATCTTTAGCAACGAACCACTCGCTCGTCATAATCCCTTCGACCCGCCTATCCCGACTACGTGGGGTCTCAGCTCTGATGATGACAGTGACGACACTCACCCCGAACCCTTTTTGGGCTATTCCCAGAAGTAGAGCCAGAGCCATCTTTGACCTTTCGGCTTTGTTCTGTACCCATGAGTCGGGACTCGGAGGTCACCTCCGGCTCGACCCTCCTTTCGACACCGCCGACGGAATTTCTCCAACAAGGCGAGAATGATGACTTGGAATCCAAAGAGGTCGAAATCGCATCGGATGTCGTCATTGCAGATGAGAGTGTCATTATCTCGCACGACCAATAATATCAACCACTGTAACGATGCTTGTCTCGTACGGCCATCGTAACGCCTTTGACCACTGTTTCCTCCACATGATGATTACTTATAATGGGCAGTAATATGGATATTGCGTGTTCAATTCTTCTTCTATAGCCTCCATTGCTACATCTAATGATGCTCCTCCGCAATCTCTTGTCTATAATGCTTCAATCGTAACAATTAATTGCAATGAATCTTAAAAACACCTTATTTAATAATTCGTGTGCTCTCTAAGTCGCACTGTACCAGATAGTCGATGGCCACCACATGTAACCGCTACACCTATAGTAATTCTTTCCTTCTCCTTGATACTCGCCAACTAAAGTGGCCCTCTCACGTCGCATAATGCACAAATATTCATGGATTAGCAACTTTCCCTTTGGGAACCAGGATGTTGCGCCACTTATCACATACATTGGTGACAGTTCGAATCATGTTAGACTTTGCTGGGATCCCATAAAGGGACATCTTTCTCCCTTTAATGATCCCTTGCATCAGGTCCAACATCATTGTTCTCCTGGCGTCGTGACGTCTCGTATCATGTTGTACACGGAGGTAAGACAGGAGTCTGCTCATGGGAGGACTCAGAACTGTACCCACAGGTGAAATTGGATCAAGGTTCGTACTTGGATCTACCCGTCGGGTATGTAGCTATGGGTACTCACGAAACCCAAATCTATGCCATTGCGCTGCTCTCTGCCCAGCATGAAAATGGTTGATGTGGCGCAGGAGATATAGCTATCTCTG